GGCCTTTGCAGGGAGGATGCTGCCCCAGAGGGACAGGCAAACGTGGCTCGTGCTCCGGGCTCGCGGTGTCCGGAAATGAAAGCGGGGGCTCTGCAGGCGCAGCGGCCGCAGTGGGGGCTGAGGCAGGGCCCCCGCTCACCACAGCCCCTCCTCGTGGGAAAGGCCCTGCTGGCCACAGACCTGCAGCAGGACCAGTCCCAGGTGCTCTGCAAGGCACGGACCAGGCAGCTCTTGAAGCGCTGTGCAGAGCTCAGCCCACAGCAGACACTTCCAGGAGAGGCTGTTCCTGCAGTGCCCAAACAATGCTGGGGCAGCTGGGATGTGCCAGGCTGTCTCCTGCTCGCCCAACCTTCCTCCTCCTCCTCCTCCTGCTGCTACTGGTGCTGGGTGAGCTGGGGGCTGGCTGTGCCTTGGGGCTGAGCACTGGAGGGCTGCTGAGCAGGGCAGGACAGGGCCTGTGCTGGGCACAGGGCAGGACCCAGGGAAAGGGTGTGTGGAGCAGCTGTGCAGCAATGAGGGGCAGAGCTGCTTTGGGATTGCTTCCTCCAGCTGCCATGGACCTCCAAGCAAAGGGTGTACTTTCACATCCCTTAAAGAAAATTCAGGTCGTAGTCTAAAACTAGTCAGAGGCTGAAGTGCTTTAGGGCATGAAGGGCATCTACTTGGAACCAAAATCCGAACCAAGATGGGTTTCTGGAGATGTCAAGACAGGAGACAAAGGAGAGGCAGGATGGAGCCCCGTGGGTGGGAAGGTGCTCACCAAGCACAGACTCAGCAGTGGGAATGTGGACAGGGGCACAGGGCTGAGCTGGGTTGCTGCCCCTCTGACCAAAACCCTCTGTGACCCACGGTGCAGGTGCCGGTGTGATGGCCCAGGACATCTGCACCTCCCCAGGGGATGGTGAGTACGGAGAGAGGTCCTATAAAGGGAGTTATGAGGGAGGGGAGATGGGAAGGGAGAAGCCTTTGTTCCCCCTTTGTGCACCCCAGGAGAGGAAAGTCTTCTCTACTGAGATCCAAGCCATTGGCCAGCTCTGATGACAATAACACTCTCCCTGTCCATCCCTGTGCCATCTCTCCAGGTGATCTACCAGCTCCTGTTCTCTCTGTGACCCCCATTGCTGCACAGGAGGGGGAAGAGGTTTATTTTTGGTGCCAAATTGTCTGGAAGTCTCCTGATACCCGAATCGTCTTCTGCAAGGACGGGGTGGAGGTGCACAGCCTGAAAGCCCGACAGGGCAAAGGGATCTACTCCATGTTCTTCCACATGACGAGCAGGAGCACAGGCACATACACATGTGGATACCAGCACAAGGACAAGAGCAACCAAGTGAGGAACTCGGCCCTCAGTGCTCCCCAGATTCTGAGTTTCAGAGGTGAGACATGGAACTCACTGGGGCATGTGCAGGCAACTCTCGTAGTCCCCACAGATCCCATGTGAGTGTGGGGACCCTACCCTGTCCCATGGCACGTCCCAGGCTCTTGGGATGGTTGGAGAGGGAGGTGTCTGGCTGTGGGACACTTGGGGGTCTGGGATCTATCAGCAGCCCCCGACATGCACCCCAAGCTCAAGCCATCCCACAGCAAAGGAGCCTTTTGCAAGAAGCTTGCTTACATCAGAGACAGTTTTGGTTGGGTGTGTGGTTCCAGGTGGATTCTTCTGGCTCCCTAAAACACTTCAGAATCTGCCAAGTCTCACACCATGAACCAAACTCCTTCCGAGGGGTTGGAAATCACCCCCTTTGCTCAGAGGTCCACGGGATCTGGAGGAAGCAATTGTCCTCCTGCCCTCCCCAAAGCAGCTCTGCCCCTCATTGCTGCACGGCTGCTCCACACACTCTTTCCCTGGGTCCTGTCCTGTGCCCAGCATGGGCCCTGTCCTGCCCCGCTCAGCAGCCCTCCAGTCCACACTTCCCACCTTCCTCCTGCACCTCTGTGTCCAACCCCCCACCCTTTTCCAGACTCACAGGCACCCACAACAGGATGGTGGGGAGCTCAGGTCAGGAGCTTTGACACCACCTCCCCAAATTGTCCTAAAACAGCTTCCTCCCCCTGTATGAATCTTGCATCCCTGACAGGGAAAAACAGTCCAGCTACACAACGCATCCCCCTGCCAGTTTGGGCAAGGATTGATGGCATCAACAGCATCCTCTGGAGAGAGGGATGGAGCCAGAGGACAAGAAATTGCAGTTCAGGTGCCTGCAGCCCTCCAGGTCCCACCTGCCCAGCTCAGCCCCAGGCTGCCCTTACACTGTTTGTAGAGGACAGACAAGGCCTGGCCTTTCTTCATCGGTTTGACTGGGTTGAAACAAAAAAAAATCTCTGTGGTAGGAAACAGTTGTTCCTTCATAATGAAGTGTTTGAGGGCACTGTTCTGATCCCCCTCAATTTCTCTCTCTTCAATACGCTTGGGGGCATTTTGGAAAAGAGGATTAAAAATGTCTCTGGCTTATCATTTGCATTTTTCTTCCAAACTGTCATGTTTTCCACACGCTCCACAAATTTCCCATGTCTTCTCTTCTCTGGGATCAACTGTCACTGGTTTTGGTTGTTTAAAGGCCTTTATTTTCGTTTTCTCACTGACTATCCAAAATTTGCTCAAGACTGGAGAATAATGGTTTTGCTTGGAAGGGTTCTACCCTTCCTGGGTAGGGACAACTCTCAATAAACCAGATGGCTCCAAGCCCTGACCAGACAATTTTGACCACAGGAGTTGCTCGGGACACATTTAGAGACTCACATTAAATTTTTGGAAACATCCTTCAGGGTAAGTACATTCCAAAGGTATTAAATTTCTCTCCAAAATATGTTGTGGTCTATATAAGACCATTGTCTAATCCATGCTAAGTATTTTGGTCATGGTGTGAGACTTGGCAGATGCTGAAGTGCTTTAGGGAGCCAGAGGCACCCACCTGGAACCACAAAACCAAACAAAATGGGCTTGGGGACGTGTCCAGCCTGGTGACAAGGCAGAGGCAGGATGGAGCCCCATGGGTGGAAGGTGCTCAAATAGCACAGACTCAGCAGTAGAAATGTGGACAGGGGCACGGGGCTGAGCTGGGTTGCTGCCTCTCTGACCAAAACCCTCTGTGCCCCACGGTGCAGGTGCTGGTGTGATGGCCCAGGACATCTGCAGCTCCCCAGGGGATGGTGAGCACAGGGACAGGCCCTGTAAAGGGAGGTGTGTGGGGTGGGAGATGGGAAGGGAGAAGGGCTTTGTTCCCAGTGTGTGTGACCCCTTGGAGAGGGGGTCTTCCCAGATATGAAGCATTTTCCACCCCGACAGCAGTAACACCATCTCAGTCACTCTCTGTGCAGTCTCTGCAGGTGACCTCCCAGCTCCTGACCTCTTCATAACCCCCATTGCTGCACAGGAGGGGGAAGAGGTTTTGTTTCGGTGCCAGATTGCCTGGAAGTCTCCTGATACCCGAATCATCTTCTGCAAGGAGGGGGTAGAGGTGAGCAGCCTGAAAGCCCAGCAGCAGAAGGGGAGCTACTCCATGCTGTTCCCTGTGACGAACAGGAGCACAGGGACATACACGTGTGGATACCAGCACAAGGACAAGAGCAACCGAGTGAGGAACTCGGCCCTCAGTGCTCCCCAGAACCTGAGTGTCACAGGTGAGTCGTGGCACTGGGGAACAGGCAGGATAATATCACAGACTCCCCAGACCCCATGTGAGGCAGGAGACCCTGCCATTCCCCATGACGTGTCCCCAGACAGTTGGGATGCTGGGGGTCAGTTCATTACAACCTTTGGCAACAGGGACACTCCTCCCAGTCCCAGGAGAGCATCCTGCTCCTCTCCTGCACCAGCATCACAGAAAGGGGAGAGTGGTGGTGCCACATCTAATGCAGAGCCACAGCTGGGCAGGGCATTCATTTATTGATCCCCACAGTTGATAGATGGTGGATCAGGGGTCCCCACAGTGGCTGAGTCTGTGCAGTACCTGGGGGAGCTGCAGGCTCTCAGCCTGTGCCTTTCTCCTCCCAGGCAGTGGGTCCAGCTCCCAGGCAGGCACAACCACCCATGGTCAGTGATTCCCTCCCTCCCACCCACTGTCTCTCAGCATTGGGCCAAGGCTGCCCAGGACACTGGGAGGTTCATCAGCTGGGATCTTGCTTGGCTCTAAGGGCATATCCTGCTCTCTGCTGCCACTTCCCATAACTGCCCCTCTTCCCCAACAGCTTTTCTGCCTCCAACCATGAAACCTCAGGGCCTCCAGACCTTTTCCCCACATCTTGTGATAAGCTTGGTGACCATCTTTCTTCTCCTTCTGGCTGCAGCCACCTACTGTTTTGTGAGGAAAGGTAAGTGATTTGGGGATATTGAGGAGTAAATTTGAGGCCGAAATTGCATCCTGATGTGGGGCTGCTGCTGTCTGACATGTGCTGGTTTAGGATGGTTGGATCCTCACCTCATTTCTCAGGAAGCTGAGCCTCTCAGGCCTTTCCTTTTTCAAATGAGGCAAGTAAAGCTGCTGAGATGACCAAGACTTTACCAAAGGGGTGCCCTGCCCCAGGCACACATTGGCTCCCATCCTGTGGGCACAAGAATTGAGTCTCTGAGCTGGCCTGAGTGGAGCCAGCACAGCTCCTCCACACTCTGGCTGTGCACAGTTGCTGAGTGCTTGGGAGAGGCCAGGCTGGCAAAGGGCATTCCCAGTTGTGTAGAATGGGCTTAAAAATCCCTCTCCCAGTGAGGTGTGGAGGTTCAGCCCAGCATCTTCACTGCACAGCCCAGAGCATGGAAAGCCAGGGCTGTGCAGGAACTCTGCCTCCCACCTGTCTCTCTCTTTTCCTTGCAGGGGCCTGCAGAGAGAGATGCCAAAGGTGAGCAGCAATCCCCCTGGGCTGTGGGGCTGTGGGGTGATGGACACGGGGCATCCCAGCCCCCTGGGGTGGTCCTTAGGCAGGGGCAGCCTGGTGTGTGCCCATGGGTGGATTCCCCCATGGTGCAGGCAGGGAGGAGCAGGGCTTGCCCTGCCTTGACTCCAGCCATGGACCCGGTGCAAGACAACATCATCCATGGCAATGACTCCAAAGGGCTCATCAGGGTCTGGACACAGACCCCCAAACCCTTTCCCCCAACTCTCTCCAGGCAGCAGCAAGTTCCGAGCCACGAGGCTGAAGGGACTGAGGACAATGAAATGCATTGTGAGTACCAACCCCTCCCTTTGGGTGACACACGGACCCCTCTGTCTGTGGAACCCCCCTCTTGTGTCCTGGCTGCCTCTGGCACCACCAGCAACCCTGAGACCATCAGCCAGCTGTGGCACTGCCTCAGGAGCTGCACTGAGTTATAGGGACCTGCCCCAAAGCCCCTTTCCATCCTCTCCATCTCTCCCCTCATTGCAGGGCCTTTCCCAATTCCACATGCAATCCCAGCAATTAATGTCCCAGCAGGATTTGCAAAACAACTGCCCACTGAACAAGGGCAGATTTCTCCCCACATTGTTGCTCCCCAGCTTCTTCCCTGCACACAGGGCCCAGCTCCTGCCTGCACAGGAAAGCTGAGCACAGACTCCCATCCCTGCTCTGCATCCACAGATGGAAGGGCAGCTTCCTCTGCTGCCAGGAGTGGGGTGAGATTACAGGCAAACAGGGCAGGGGATCAGTGCTGACCCCGGGGGATTTGCTGTTCAAAGGCAGGGTGGGGCTTGTCCCTCCCAGAACAGGAAGCAAAGGCTCACTCTGTGCTTTTTGCCCCCCACCAGACTCCACCATCGCCCACGTTGGACATAAAGGGGTGAGTTGTGGCACAGCCTTGGTGCCAAAGCAGGGAGCAGGGCCCTGGGGATGGGTATCAGGATCTGTGCAGGTGGGTTGGGCTGGGGAGTCTCAAAGGGCCAACCCCACCAAAACCAAACGGGAACCACAGGGGAAATTATATTTATACTTTTTTTAACCAAAAGTAAATTATTTTGTCTTGTTTTCTTCTGCAAGCACTTTCCCTTTAAAAATGCTTCTCAAGTAAATGCCTAATGTAAAATTTGTGTATATTCAAGTGGGAAAGAAAGATAAAGAACCCAAGTTTTGCAAAAACAACAACAAAAAGCAATTAGAAACACAATATTGATTCCAATTAGCCATTATTCCTGCTGCCATGTTAGTCAGTCCTAGTTATGCAGCTCTCCTGCAGCCCAGAGCCAGAGGCTTGTGCAGGGCTTGCAGCCAGCAGGGGAAATAACGGGCTCTCCTTTTCCCTCTGAAGCCTCGTGTGCAAGAGCTGAACAGCAGCACAACCTATGCCCTGGTGAGGCCCTCCCGCAGCCAGCCCAGAGAGCGCTCCAGCACGGCCAGTGCCCAGGGAGAATGGCCCAGCCCGGCCTGTTCTCTGTGACAGAGCTCCTGAGCTGGCAAAAGGGGCTGGGGGATCCAGGCTGGGCTTGCTTGGCCTTTGCTGGGCTGGGCAAGGGCTGGGAGCTGGGAGCCTTGGGGCTGCTCCTCCAGCTCCTCCTCTCACCATGTTCTCCCCCTTTCCCTTCCCAACCCCATTTCCACCCCCCACGGCACAGGGGGTTTACAGACATCCCTGCAGCTCCCAGCGGGTTTGTCCCTGTCCCCAGGAACCTGCCCTGGGCCAACCCCTGGGCTCGTCTGCACCAGTTCTGGTGAGGAATTGCCAGTGCTTGGCTTGGCAGGGCAACACCTCCCCGCAAGCCCTGGCCATGCCAACATGTCCACACCCAGCCCTTCCACCACGCCCAGCCCTTCCCACACCCATCAGAAATATGTTCTGAATGCCTTGAACCCAAAGGATCTCTGTGACTTGCACATGTATTGGCAATGTCTGATGGATAAATCCAGATCAAATCTATTCCCTGTATTGTACATGGACACGTGAGCACCTCGAGTGAGGAGGAACATCAAAGTGATTGGGAGAGATTCAAAGCCTGGAGGGACTTATATGGAGCCTGAAGGAGCTAATAATTGATGGACTTTCATGTTATTCCTCAGTTTATTACTGTGTTCAATGTACCCCCACAACCATCCCTACGTTAATCCCCTTGGTCTGTACTGTTCAGGGCTTGTCTGGACTTGCCCTCACGTTTTCCCTTCAAAAGTTGTTTACCCCCTTACTCTCCCCTGGTTTCCTGCTCATCTCTCACTGATTGGCTGATGGATGCCACAGTGCAGAGTGAACTCCCATTGGCCCCCTTCCCTAGATACTCCTAAGTTCCTCCCATTTTCTCTGTGTTCCCCAATCCTGTTATGCCCTGAGACGTCAATCCCATGCTCCGCCCCAGTTATTAGACCTCCCCTTACCCAAACCTTATATAAGTCCTTGTTCCCCGCAATAAAGTGGCCATTGCACCCTGACCTTCTACCGTGTCAGAACCCTTTGTGCAGTGTTGTGTCCCTATTCCCTTTCCCTTCGGGCCGTGGCACTTGAGTGAAGACATCTCCATCCCCCTGTGTCAAAAGGAACCTGTGTGTCTACAAACCACATGATACAAGTCTGGGTGTGCTCTTCTCTGTGCCCACACCGGTGCTCCCTTGGATGCACAGGTACACAGGGGCACAGGCCCTGCTGTGCTCACAGGGCTCTGTCTGTGGGGGTGTGCAATGATCAGGTGCTTCTACTCCAGTGGAGAACAAACATGGATTTCTCTCCCAGACTGCACCTCTGCCTTCCACAGTCCCTCCCGGAATGGGGTTGAGCTGCCTGGTGACAGCCCTGGAGGTACAAAGGGGTGGCTGAAGAGACATGAAGGGACTCTGGAGGTACACAGGGATAGAAAGGGGAGATGTCTCTGGTCTGAGCTCAGCTGAGACATCCACCAGACCCTCAAAGCTTCATATTTGTACTTTACTTCTGTCTCTCCTCTCTTACCTCTGCTTTTCTTCCCAAACTTCATTGTCTGCCAAGTGTCGTCTGTAGCCCTGGCTGGACCCAGGATGACCTGTGCCACTGGAGTGTTAAAATGCCATGTGATGTCACAATCCAGAAACCTGCCCTGTCCTGGGCTCATCCCCACAGTGTGGGCAGCAGGTGAGGGGGGATTCTGCCCCTCTGCTCCTCTCAGGGGAGACCTCACTTCCAGTGCTGCCTCCAACTCTGCTGCCTCCTGTGCTGTGTTGTGCTTCTCTCCAGGAGCCAGAACAAGGATGTTTGCACCAGAAAAGTGTTGTCCTACCTCTGTGTGGCCCCTTCTCCAGCCCCATCTCACAGTGTGTCATTATCAACAATCCTTGGTTGTCTCCATGGCCATCCAGCTGTCAGTGTTTTAGATACAAACACCAGCCCCTGATCTTCTGGGCTTCTACAACCTCACTGAGTGTTCACCTCACTGCCCACTTGTGTGACCCCTACTTTGTCAGCTTGTCTATGGGAATGTTACTGCAAACATTGTCAGAAACCTCAGAAAGTCGAGATAAACAACATCCACTCCTCTCCCACATCTATGAAGTTTGTCACCTATCTGAGAGCACCTAAGTGTAGAAGCTCTCATATAGGTTGAGGTATGTTTTGCCCTTTGTAAATCCACGTTGGCTGTTCACAATCACCTTCTTGTCCTTTGTGTGTTTGGAAATGATTTCCAGGAAGAAACCTTCCAAAGCACTCTGGTCAGGTTGCCTGGTCTGCAGTTTATCTGCATCTTCCTCTTGCTCTTCCTGAAGTCGGAGGTGGCATTTGCTCTCCCACTCTTTAGGATCCCTCCCTGTCGTCATGACCTTCCTAAGACAATCAAGAGTGGCCTTGCAATGTCATCAGGCAGCTCCCTCAGCATTTGGGGGGACAACCTATGAACTGACCTATGTCACATTTCTTCGAGGCTCCCTAACCTGGTCCTCCTCCACCACAGGTAACACCTTCCCTTCTCCTTCCTCCTTTCAGTCTTTCATGGAGAGAATTTTGTTTTAATGTCTCCATTTCCCATCTTCCTCAAACCTTCCCAATATCATATAATTCCTAGGGCAGTAAGAAATAATTCTGGCACAGTATTTCAGGGAAAAGACAGCTGTGAAAAGTGACAGTAAGAGCCAAGGACAGTGGGAATCCACTGTCAAATCCTAGGGAAACCCAACCTTAATTCCCCATACAACTTGGCAAAAAAGCATCAGTCTTGCAGAAAAAGGACAGTTGATCTCCAGGCAGAGCCTGGCAGTCTCAGCACTATGTGCACAGCAAGAGCTTTCTGGACGGGCACATTTGGTCTGGGAGGAATCTTTGTCCGTATTCACTTTTGGCCCTCGGTTGGCCAATTTAGGAATGGGGTCCTGCCCACCAACGATTGACTTTCCAGCCAAGAAAAAGGTCTGACCCTCCGTCTCTCTTCTGTTGGTGGTGCAGCACTCTCGGCACTATGTGCACAGCAAGAGCTTTCTGAGCGGGCATCTTTGATCTGGGAGGAATCTTCATCTGTATTCACTTTTGGGCCTCGGATGGCTGATTTAGGAATGGGGCTCCTGCCCACGAACGATTGACTTTCCAGCCAAAAGAAAAAGCTCGGACCCTCTGTCTCTATCATGGCGTTGGTGCAGCACTCTGGGCACTATGTGCACAGCAAGAGCTTTCTGGACAGGCACCTTTAGTCTGGGAGGAATCTTCGTCCATCTTCACTTTTGGCCCTCGGACGGCCGATTTAGGAACGGAATTCCTGCCCACCGACTGCCCTTCCAGCCAAGAAAAAGGCCTGACCCTCCGTCTCTCTTCTGTTGGTGGTGCAGCACTCTCGGCACTATGTGCACAGCAAGAGTTTTCTGGACGGGCACCTTTGGTCTGGGAGGAATCTTCGTCCGTATTCACTTTTGAACCTCGGATGGCTGATTTAGGAATGAGGCTACTTCCAACGAACGACTGCCCTTCCATCCAGGAAAAAGCCCTGACCCTCTCTGTCTCTCCCCTGCCATTGGTGCAGCACTCTCGGCACTACGTGCACAGCAAGAGTTTTCTGGGCAGAAAAGGGAGGGAAAAGAGGAAAAAGAGAAAAAAGCCTTACTTGAGAATCCAGACATCCTACCATCGGTCAGGAAGAAGTCCCGCACCTTCTATAATGCAGGTAGATACTGGGGCACCCACTGGCAGACAGGGGCACTTGTAGTGCCAGTGGCACTGGTGTTCCTTTCCCCATGCTGAAGGCCCATGGTGGTGCTGAATTGCCCTAACTGGTGCTGCACTGCATTCCACACTATCAGATGTGTGAGGATCTTCAAATAGAGAAGATCTTCAAATAAAGTGTCTTATGTTTGAAGCATCACTAGCAGTGCTCTTTGTTTCTACTGCAGAAGAAGAGTTTTGTTTATTTTTGTGGTTTACTTTAAAAAAAAAATCTTTTATGTTTTTCATGTGTTTCTAAATATAGTAAAAATGTTCTGGTTTTTTTCTACTTCCCTCTTCTGTTTTTTTTTTTTCTTGTTTATCACATACTCCCCATCTCTCACTATCTTTTTGAACAATGCATGGTTTCTAGAGCAGCTAGAAGAGTTGGAGAAGGTGTTCCATGAAGACCACTATCCCAACACTGAGAAGAGGATGGAGCTTGCAGCTGCGTTTGGTGTGATGCCAGAGCGAATCCTGGTAACGCCTGCTCGAGGGACAGTGGGTTCTGTGCAGAAAAGGGATGGACAGGGACTGGGACAGGGAGGAGGTGACGACTACACCTGCCACTGGTGACAAGGAAGAGAGCTCACAGGCATGGACACTGCTCAACCCCACCCAAAATGGCCATGGAGTCTGGGGTTGCATATCTTCCCATTTCCTAAGGTGAATCATATAATGGCTAGATAAATGAGGCTAAGGAGATCAGAGTTAATCTCTTTTGTCTTGAAAATCATGGGTAGCAAAGGAAATTGATGTTTGGGGGTGTCTTTCTGCTGTTATTTTCAGAGAAGCTGAATGCAAAAGGCAACAGAAAACATCCAACATCGTCACCTCTGTCACATGATTATGGATGGGAGACCTACTCTGTTTTCTCATCTTTCCACAACAGGTACCTAATGAATTAAATGTTTTCCTTTGCCATTCCCCCTTTACATTTAAACTATGGAGAGCTGACAATCGAGTTGGACCTCAGTCGCTCGTCAGATTTCTTGGCAAATTGTAGTAGACCCTCTTAAAAGAGGGTTTGAAATAAATCTGTTGAGATTGCTGTGGGTAAAGTCATGTGGAGAACAAGGGATGAGATAGAAAGGTCTGTGGATCACCCCTTCATTTTATGTTTTTGTGAATGGTCAGGAGCCCATTGCACTTCCCACCATTGCTTTCCATTTCCATGGATTTTCACTTGGTGATGGAAGTGCTGCTTGCTTAGATCAGTCTTACAAAGTCACGGGCTTCTTTGAACAAATATAAGGTAGCACCTTTCATAGGTGAGCAGGGGACATTTACTGGGGGGGGAAGGGAGTATGTGAGAGGATAGATAGTCTTTCAAGGGGTAGTGAGTGAATGTGTGAGGGAAGAAATTAGTTTCCACAGGGATATATTTGTGGTAATCTGGAGCGAGAAAACAGAATGCAAAGAGGAAAAATTAAGATAAAGATTGGAGACCACCTTACATTTCATTGCATTGTCCCTGCTGCCTGTCCTACACCGGGGACTTGAGGCTGCTTCCCCAAATACTGTCGACAGCATTCCTTGCACACCTAAATCAGCCACTGCTTTCTTTTTCCACCAGCTAGTGATGTAGGATCTGCCCATTGTAGGGTAGAAGAGTATGTATTTGGTCATAATGCCCTGCCTTGTCTTCTGGTTCATCCTCACACCCTTTTTGCTGCCTCCAGGGTACCTCCTCTGCCTGTGCCTCTGTTGCCTGATGTTGCTCGTGACCAATCTGCCGTGCTGGGAGGAAACGCTGCAGCTGGGAACTGCTCCAGCCTGCTCAGAGCACAGCTTGCACCGCTCTCCTCTGCCTCAGGTGAGACCCCGACCAGCATGAGTGTTTTCCATAACTACAGCATTGGCTGGTGGAGCTAGGATGTTCCCAGACACTTTAGGGAAGGTCATGTGAATGCCCCACACCATCAGTGCAAAATGTGACACCAGGTCACTGGACAGGCTGAGAAAGCTGGGATTGATCAGCCTGGAGAAGAGAAGGTTGTGTGGAGACCTCACAGCACCTTCCAGTATCTGAAGGGGCTGCAGAGAAGCTGGAGAGGGACTTTTCATCAGTGACAGGATGAGGGAGAATGGCTTCAAACTGAAAGAGGGAAAATTTAGGTTAGATATGCAGAAGAAATTCTTCCCTGTGAGGGTAGTGAGGCCCTGGCACAGGTTCCCCAGAGAAGCTCTGGCTGCCTCATCCCTGGAAGTGTTCAAGGACAGGCTGGATGGAGGTTGGAGTAACCTGGGATAGTGGACAGTGTCCCTACCCATGGCAGGGGGTTGGAATTGGATGGTCTTTAAGGTCCCTTCCTACCCAAACTTTTCTATGATTGGAGGTATAGCAGCTCCCTGCTAATTGAGTCTGTCCCAACTATGTACCAGCACGGTGGTGCTTCTGTGCTGATGCTGGAGCCAAATTTGCAGTCCTTGTTCATGTCCTAGCCCAAGCCAGCAAGGAATTCTGAATATGACTTCATAAGGATAAGTGATAGGGGCATTCTTCCATAATAGCTGTTTGACACTGGTCCTGCTGCTCTAAATGATGATGAAAGTATTACTCTGGTTATGACGTTCTTCATGGCAGATACACACATCCCATACTCTGGTTTAGATGGAAACATTCTGGTTACAACCAGAGTCAGGTGAGGTGTGTGAGGAAGGTGCACTGTACAAACTGTTGGTGTTATAGAGGCTCCCTCAGGTACTCCATACCTTTAAATGTCCAAGAGGGTTCCTTGGCTTCCCCAGGCAGTGCAAGTTTTCATTTTGTGCAAGACCTCGAGGGAGGGAGACTAGTTGAGTTCCAGAGCTGATGCTGAATTTACTCTCAGTTGCAGTGGAGCTGGAGGTCAGTGGGGTGTGCTGTTCGACCAGGGCTCTACCTGTGCTGTGCTTAAAGATTGATGGCAACTAAAGACTGTTCAATTGTTTATTCGTGTGTGGAGTACCAGAGCATTCCCTGGAGTCAGGAATGCTCCCTAAAGCATTTCCTATGTATGTTTACATTTCCAAGTTGGCACAATTTAAAAAGATTTCCAAAGTGATGAGGACTTTATCACTTCCTTCAGAGGGATATCCCAAGCAATATATGTGCTGACATATGATACTACTGTGTGCATTTTTCTGCTTCCCAGTGTAATTCATTCATTGGAATTTCTGCTCCCTCATTTTATTCTAAATGTGCCAGTATTTAGTTATCAGTATTAAGGTCAGTTCTTGCAACTCATTTTCTAATAATGACTCAATTTTTTTTTAATAGTGCTGATACCTTAAAAGTACTTTGGCACTGTAGAAAGCACCTGTAAGGTTGTATCAGTAAGTTTATAATGCTAATAAATACTTATGTGTGCTAAAAGTACGTAATTGAGATACTTAATTTAGTATTTCTGTCATTTAAATTTGCCTGTCATCCTCTCAAGGCAAGGGCTACTTTAGTCAATCCTATGACCTATTTAATCAATAGGACTGTAATTCAGTTAGTTCTGGTTTTTCCACTCCTTACAGCAGGGTAAATATGGTCAAAGTGTTTGAATAATTCACTGCTTCCCAGAGTTCTGAAGCAATGTCATCTGTTGAGCCCTGTATTTAATTAGAATTAGATAAAGACTAAGGTTTTGCAAAATAATTCATTTAAAGGAAACAAACCAATTATCCTCTATGATTGGACTTCTATGCTGTAGGAACCTCTGCTGGTTCCTAAAATACATCTGCAGATGTGCTATTTAGTCAAGAGAGAATATAATAGAATCATAGAATGATTTGGGTTGGAAGGGACCTTAAAGATCATCCAGTTCCAACCCCCTGCCATGGGCAGGGACACCTTCCACTACACCAGGTTGCTCAGAGCCCCATCCAACCTGACCTTGGACACTTCCAGGGGTGGGGCAGCCACAGTTTCTCTGGGCAACCTGTGCCAGGGCCTCCCCACCCTCACAGCAAAGAATTTCTTCCTGATATACTCTAAACTTTTTGTTTGAATCCATTTCCTCTGTTAGAGAAATAGAAGTTTCATTCAGGGATGTGATCTTGTCCTCTGTTTTCAATGAGCCATTTTTTTCTGGGAATTTGCACACTGGGATACAATTCTCCATGTGGAAAAGACAAGCAATCCTCCTGATAGACAGAAAGGTCCCATCTGAATTCTTGGTGCAGTGTGTAAGGAAGAAAAAGGGCAAGTGAATGTCCCTGAGGGTGAAATGAGTATGTGGAAAATGAGTGATAAAGAGAGCTGGGTTTTTACTGCTGGAATCCTTTCAGCTTGCTGCTGACTGCCTCCTATTGCATTTGCTGTGTGTGCATCCAGCTTTTAGGAAACACAGGTGTGATGGTTTCAGTCTAGGCCTTCCTGGAAACCAGCTTGTAACCAGGAAGGAACTGGGAAGGTGACCAAGGAAGTATTCCAGGCTATTCCTTTACGTAACCTAGGGTATAAATAAGGCATTGATAAGAGAGTTCGCTCTCTTCTCTTCCGGCGAGGTTGGAGAACGGTGGTCCCTGTCTGGGCCTGGCTTATCTGGAGCTGAGGCCTACAGTAACTGCTGTTATCGGCCACGCGTGAGGGGGGAGTGCTGGGCCGTGTCCAGACGTACTGCTTTCTTTCAAGGGAAGTGGTGAGCTCTTGCCAATTCTTCAGCTTTGCTGGGTTTTTAGATTGTGTAGATCTGTTTTATTATTTGTCCCTTTTCACCCTATTTTATCCTTTTCCCTTCTCCCTTCCCCCCTCTTCCCTTCGACTTCGGGAAGCTATTTGGGGTCATAGATTCATATATATAATTCTCATTGTATATCTCTGTTTTATACATAATATATATATATATTTTGGCTAGAACTTTGGCTGCCTGGTCTTTCGGGTTTTTTTTCCTTCCCTCTCTGGGAAGGAGACCCTGTTGTCGAGTTTCGGAGATTTGGCAGGAGGCCAACTCCAAACTTGCACAACAATTTTGGTGTCAGAAGTGGGATATTTTGGTTAAGTTTGGCCTGTTTTGAAAACATTGTCCGGGAAGACAGCCAAGCTCGGTGTTATTTTTCGAACCAAATCTATTGTTTTGGGAACAGGTCTGGGAACACTGCCAGAGTCTGGGAAAGCAGCCAAGAAAACTTTGTTTACATAAACAAAGGGTTGTTTTAAGAACAAGAAGAAATAATAACAACAACAATGGGTAGTACTGGCTCTACCTTCATCAGCAACTACCACAGGAACTCTGTAGGTGGCCCTAACAATGACCCCGAAATTGGCATTGCCCGACGGTCCTGTAGGGCAAGGGCTCTTCTTTTAAAGACCATCCTACCTATTTCCTTGCTGATTTTGGCAATGTTTGTGCCCGTTCTGAGTTATCCCATAGGGAAACGTCCATGCCCAGAGGACGAATGTTGCCAGTACTTTTCTTTTCTTAATCTCGACATCAAAGGCCTGGTAAAGGAGATCCCCATGGTTACGATTGGACCCAATTATTATCTAAATTGTGTGGCAACCATGCTGTTATTAATGAAGGTAATGGAAGTGTTGCTTAAAATTGGAAGAATGGTGTTGTATTGCTTTCCCTGTTGCAGGAAAGATCGCACCTCAAAGGAGATCGCTGGAACTTTGGAAAGGGCTGCGGACAGGCCAGTCCCCGGGTGGCATGGAGCTTGGGTAGAGTTTGGTAAATTAGTAGGAAGTGTGTCACCTCCCATTAATTGGGAGTTCACACCGGAACAGATGTTTGATTCCGGTGAGATGGCCCGTTGTCTAACAGAAGGATGCTTCTCCTACAAGGATCCGAATATGCGATTCTCTACTTTGTGCTGGGGCCTGGCTAATGCCTTATTTATACCCTAGGTTACGTAAAGGAATAGCCTGGAATACTTCCTTGGTCACCTTCCCAGTTCCTTCCTGGTTACAAGCTGGTTTCCAGGAAGGCCTAGACTGAAACCATCACATTCTCCACCCCTTATTCCATACTATTTCTTTACGTAACACCTGTATATTGTGTTTGTCTCTATCCCGCACATATACATATATACATATATAGTCCATGTTTATTTTTCTCGAAGGCTGTCGTCTGTCATTGAAGATCAGCACCACCAGCAACTCGATTTGTGTTCTTGGCCCTTTCGTCATAATCACAGTTCCAGTTTAGGGCTGGCTCACTGGTTTGGGCTGTGTCATCATTGGCCATCCTTGGATTCTCGTATCAGCTTTGTTCGGGTCTTTTTTCCGTCTGGTGTCTGGTCTCCTGTAAAATACAACTCAAGGCACAGAATTAGTTTTTCCCCAGGCTTAGGTTTCCTTGAGGCACATATTGGATCTCTCCATCCTTCCTCATAACCCACCAGGTATATCCAGGCCCTTGAGCAAAGACAATCCCACGAATGGGTTTGTCTTGGCCTGAGGGAGGAGTGATCCAAACGGCCTTACCTAACATACCTTTTAGATGGATCGCTGGAACTTTGTCTCCATCTACAGTGTGGAGGGACTCTGCTTGGGCAGGACCAGCTCGGTTGACAGAGCCTCGGGTGTTGACTAACCAGGTGGCCTTGGCTAAATTCTTGTCCCAATTTTTGTAAGTTCCCCCACCTAGTGCCTTTAGAGTCGTCTTCAACAGTCCATTACACCTTTCTACTTTTCCTGCAGCAGGTGCATGATATGGAATGTGATATACCCATTCAATACCATGCTCCTGTGCCCAAGTGGCCACTAGACTGTTTTTGAAATGAGTCCCGTTGTCTGACTCAATTCGCTCTGGAGTGCCATGTCTCCACAGGACCTGCTTCTCAAGGCCTAGGATGGTGTTTCGGGCTGTTGCATGCGGTACTGAATATGTTTCCAACCAT